AAAAAAGAAAGAAAGAAAGAACAAAAGAAAGAATGAAAAAAAAAAAAGAAAAAAGAAAAGGAAAAGCAAAAGAAAGAATAAAAGAAAAAGAATTAAAGAAAGAAGGAAAGAAAAAAGAAAAAACAAAAGAAAGAATAAAAGAAAGAACAAAAAAGAAAGAATAAAAAAGAAAGAAAGAAAGAACAAAAGAAAGAATGAGAGAAAGAAAGAAAGAAAGAAAAAGGAAAAAACAAAAGAAAGAATAAAAGAAAGAACAAAAAAGAAAGAATAAGAAAGAAAGAAAGAAAGAAAGAAAGAAAGAAAGAAAGAAAGAAAGAAAGAAAGAAAGAACAAAACAAGTAAGAAAATAAGAGAAAGTAATAAGAAGCAAAAAATAAAAAAATGAATGAATTACAAATTTAAGAAATGGGGAGAATAAAAGGAAATGAAAATTTTACAAAGATTATATTTTAAAAAAAATATGACTGCCCATAAACTCTGTTGAGTGAGGTGGGGGATGGTGTTTGTGTGCATGCATACATATGTACATGCATGAGTGTTTGTGTTTGTGAATCTAACAGATTTGGCTCAAGGCCAAGCAATAAGAACTCTTGCTAATAAACACTATATCGATTACACTATGGCTAGTGCTATGTGTGTATACACATAAATATAAATGTGTGTGTGTGTGTGTGTGTGGAGAGAGAGAGAGAGAAAGAAAGAAAGAAAGAAAGAAAGAGACAATAGAATGAGGTAGGAACTGACAGTTGCAATTATTATTTTTATTTTTTATTTTTTGTTGCTAGAATTGAAGATGCCACGGAATTGAATGTTCACTGTGCCCATAGCTGTTAGGCTGCCAAATTACCCATGGTTTTTGAAACATTACTAAAAGACAGTTATTTCCATATTCTAGTGAGAAATCATTCTTTCTACTTGGCAAGTGCCTGCATTCTGCAATAACAGGACAGATCATACGGGCGAATACAGACGATTGTATTTTTTTTCGAAATATTAAGCAATAAGTGCCTTTGGAATTGCAATGCTGGGCTATATGCACAGTTGGTATCAGGATTATTCACCCCTGCACTGAATATTTGTAAATTTTCTTGTCAGAATCCATCTTGCACATTTACAAATCTACCATTCATCCATGCACTGAATACTGTTGCCATATCTGGTCTGGTGCTCCTTCTGTGCATCTCAAGATTCTTGACAAAATCCAGAGAAGGATCTGTAATGTAATTGTTCTTGGTCAGGCATCTTAACTTCACTCACTTTTTCACCAACATAATATGCAACATAATTGCAATATGAGCACTGGTAAAATGGTTGCTGAAGACATTAGGTTTATAATACACAGAAATTCATACCCAGATGTCCTCAAGGACACATGACACAGTGGATAAAGGCGTTGGTTAGATCCAGTGACAGGACCCAAAGAGTATGAGTTCAATACCCAGTTAAGGCAGTGGAGAACTTTCACATAACTTAACATAACTGACACCCATCAAACATGGCATGTGGAACTAGAACAGTCTACCCCGGTGAGTGAAATAAAGGGTTCAGTTTGACATTCCAACCACCTGAAGAAGGCTGGAGCGTACAACGGCCGAAACGTTGTGATAAATATGGCAACAAAGATGAGGACAATAGTCCGAATAATGTAAATAATATGGCTTCCCTTTGTCTTTTCTGCAAATATTTTCATGGCAACTGCTCTGACAAGCTTTTTTTTCCCTTGCTGCCCTCACTACATAAACTTAAGTATTCTACTAGAACGGCATTTAAGTCCTACCCTTTTACTTTTGAAATAGCTAAATGCAAATGCCACTTCTACTCCAACAGTTTATTTTCTCGCACTTCCCGCCTTTGGAACTCCCTTCCATTTACTTACTTCTCTGCATACTAAAATCTTCAAAAATTTGAATTCATCTTCAATTACCATCTTCAGTCTTCTTGAATTCTGTTCATCTTTTGTCCTTTCCTTCCTCTTCTCATTCTCCTCTTTCACTTTCATTCACTCTAACTCTCTGTGTATATGTGGCATTCCTGTCTTGCTTGGCGGGAATTGAGTAAAAAAAATTAATGCAAATATTTATTGAATAAACGCAAGTACTTATTGAATTTACCATATTTTAATTTAATTTTGAATGATTTAAGAATTTTTTTAGAAGTTTTGATCATAGTTAGTCCAGTCTAAAATTATTCACTGTCCTCTATTTGGAAATTATGAAAAAATATTGTTCTATGGCAATTATATCTTAATATGACATTTAATACAAACAACCTTTGAAAATGAAATAGTATTGACCTGATTCTATAAGGCTCTAGGAGGTTCTGAAGAAGAAAATATATGAGTGCCACAAACTGTAAGTTGTAAAATGATCCTGGGATAATATATATATATAAAGTTTCTTTGTGGCCCAGAGGTTGGGCACGTCAGCGTAAATGACGGTTCCGTATAGGATGCAGGTTCGAATCCTGTCAAAGAACGAATATTTTCTATGAAAATTTCTCG